ACATATTTTTCGTAAAAAAACAATTGAATATCACTTCCGGTTACTCCGGAAATGGACCCAGGTCAAGAAATTTTTATAGAACCCTGTATATTTTTTTGCACAGTTGGATAGAGCTTGAAATTCCCTTTCCAATGACATATCACAACTTGTATTTGTTTCCAAGATGTCGGCGTAAGAAGGTATTTTTCTTAAATTCAATATGGCGGCATCCTGACGTAACCGATAATGTTTCTGTCAAACAAAGACTTTTAACAATCCATAATTTTTAGATTTGAAATGGTTTTAGATCGAATTTGAAAAAAAAATGATTTTGCTCAAAAATAAGGACATTTCAAAATTTCTTTGAAATGCAAATTTTAGTTTCAAATTTTCTAAAAATTTTGAATAGGAAGAGGTACTTATTAAATTCTAGAATTAAAGTGTGTCCAATGGCGTACCAAAAAATGTCTACCAAAATGCATATTCATTTTTCGGTTAGGTATTCAAAGGTTAGGACAGAATTCCGCCATATTGAATTTAAGAAAGTGCCTTCTCATGCCGCCATCTTAAAAACAAATTCCACTTATCATATGTCATTGAAAAGGGAATCTTAAGCTCTATCCAACTGTGTAAAAAACTATACAGGGTTCGATAAAAATTTCTTGATTTGGGTCCATTTCCAAAGTAACCGGAAGTGATATTCAATTGTTTTTTTATGAAAAGTGTGCGCCTCAATGACTTACTCGTTCCACCCGATTTTCAAATTTTTAAATTTAAAGACAACTGAATGACGCCTTGTATAACGATTTCGTTGTCACCCGGTATATGTATTATAGTCCAGGAGGTGGCGCCAAAAACATGCAAGAGTTTTCGCAAGGCGGATATTTTCAAAATAGGTCGTACTTTAGTGCTAGAATGCTAGTGTACAGTCAGCACTCACAGTTCCGGGACAGCTGGCTCTGGGACGCGGGCAAAGTTGTAATTTTAAGAAGCATCTAAACTGTTTTCTCAAAGCTCAAAATTTATAGAAATTTTGCACATTATCTGTTTGAAGGTCACAGATAACGTATGTAAATCGTCAGACGTCTAGTTCGTTGCAAAAAGGGGGTCAGACGTCCTTAAAGTTTTTATTTTATGGCATTTTCTTCAAATATATTTGTCAAATACCTGCAAAAATATATTTTGACAGGACACCGAAGAAAATGCCATAAAATAAAAACTTTGAGGACGTCTGACCCCCTTTTTGCAACGAACTAGACGTCTGACGATTTACATACGTTATCTGTGACCTTCAAACAGATAATGTGCAAGATTTCTATAAATTTTGAGCTTTGAGAAAACAGTTTAGATGCTTCTTAAAATTACAACTTTGCCCGCGTCCCAGAGCCAGCTGTCCCGGAACTGTGAGTGCTGACTGTACACTAGCATTCTAGCACTAAAGTACGACCTATTTTGAAAATATCCGCCTTGCGAAAACTCTTGCATGTTTTTGACGCCAGCTCCCCAACTATTAGGTTTTTGTTCAAATACCACACTGATATATAAAAGTAACTGTAATTTGGCATACAGTAGCAACCAAGATAACAACTTAAGAAATTAACTAAAAATTAAAATTTTTCATTCAAAATGTGTCATTTTATTTTATGGATTATTCTAGATGATGCGTCAAAGTCGTTGGAAGTCATATCAATACCTTTATCAACGGAACAATTTGAGGATGATGAATCCGAAAAATTAAATTCCTTTGAGACATTTAAGGAGACGACATCTAATGAAATGAATCTGGAAATGAACAAAGAAGATGAATCAGAAATAATTGAAGATCTAGAAAGTTATGGGAAATTATTTGAAAATATCAAAACCAACGACAAAACGGATGCCACTGACACTCAAAGCATTAATCAGCACGATGGAGTTTTGAAATTACAAATTAAGAGAAAACTAAAAATAGTAAAAAAATCCACATTATGTTGGGTTTCTGGTCAAAAAAATAGGAAGGTATCCACTATCCACAGACAGAATTTTTAGATTTAGAGGTAAACCTGGCAACAAGGTAGGTAAGCGAAAGAGTATTGAGAAAAAAAAAAAAAAAACAAAAAGCAAAAAAAAAAACTAAAACCAAGTATAATGAAAGCGAGTCTAATAGTGAAACTTCTGAAGAGAGTGAAACTGTCATTTACAAAGAGAGCTCTGACGAAATAGAACAAAAGGAAGTGAGTGACGGGGAAGAACCCTGTATAAGAAATGTAAAAGTATTATGCTGTGTACTATGATACCTTATGGTATATTGGCAGAGTATTAGGTGTAGATGAATCACAAAAAATATTCATCATTAAATTTTTAAAATATGATTTGAATGGCTACATATGGCCTCGTAAAGAGGACATTCAAAGAGTTCAACGTGATTTTATTTTCTATGGGCCTATTAATATGACTGGAAATGGGCCATTTTATATTAAATAAATAGAAGAAATTATGATAGATCGCTTGTATAATAGTTTTTTATACAACAAGTGAGTTAAATGAATGTTTATTCATGAGAAGAAAGTTTAACCCACGAGCCCTAGCGAGTGGGTTAATTTTCTTTGAATGAATAAACATTTTAACTCACATGATATACACAAATTTTTATCCCATTTTGTGGAAATTTAAAAAATAAAGTACAAGGAAAAATGCCGGGAGTGAGTTTAAAATATTTTAAATCACTGAGGTGTTAGATTTTTAGTTGGGCAGAGTGACTTAAAATGCCGAGAGTGGGTTAAAATTTTTAAATCATTGGGGTGATAAACGTCTAATTACCTTTATTGTTATGCCTTCAATAATGTCATTTTCAAACGTCAAAATGGGATAAAAATATTAAAAAGATGTAATCCTGGGAATGGGATTAAGCAGTAAGCTGTCCTCGGCATGTTTTGCCATAAGAACTACTAGATTTGAGCTTGGTTTGCTAGTAGCGCGGACAGTCTACTTTGCTCTTTTCGAAAGCCACCTACGCTATGGCATTCCATTCTGGGGTGTGGCTTCCCAGAATCTACTGCATATTAATTTTCTTCTGCAAAAAAAGGCTGTTCGTGCCATTGTTGATGTTGGTTACAGAGACTCATGCAGACCCCATTTTATTTCTCAAAAGATTCTTACTCTTACTGGTCTCTTCATTCTTGAAACTGCATCGATTATTTTTAAGAACCCAAGAAATGACCGTGATCCTGTTCGTGTACGCATCACTCGGCAAATTCATGACCTTCCATTGCCGGTTCCCTCAAGCGCACTGGTGCAAAGGTCAATTATTTATGAGGGAAGAAAAATATTCAACCACCTTCCCGTCGTGATCAGAAACGCGCGGGACTTGAAGCATTTTAGAAAAATTCTCAAGACGTTTCTCATCGAAAAGGCCTACTACAGAACTGAGGAATATTTTATTGATGACACCATTTAGTGCTCTGGTGCTTTTTGTGGCTGATGGTGCTTGTATAATTTGCATATTTTTGTTTGTTTGTTTTTTTTTTTAATGTTTTTTTTTGTGTGTGTTTATTCGACGGTTTCTTACCTATTTATGACTTACCTATTTATTGTTATTCACCTAGAATTAGTCTGCTTTGTCCCCAAAAATGTTTATTTTTTTTTGACAATAAAGCACATTTGATTTGATTTGATTTGTAACAACAAATAAAGTGCAGTAAAATAACTTGTAAGCAGTTTTTTTTTCCAAATGGTCACACAAAAGTCAATAATTAGGTTTTTTATTAGTAATATTATTATTTTATTATTAAATTCCGAAGTGATCAATGTGAACATTTCTCCGCATTATGCCAGATAATATCGCATTACCATCACATTACGTCTAATTGCATCATATGTTTTAACATTTTTATCATTTTTCCGCATTGTTCATTAATGCGCCGAATTATCCACATTATACCGCATTACCTTAAAATGCGAGATAATGCGGCAATACATGTAAATATTTTCCAAAGTGGTCAACCCCTCAGAAACGCCATAAGTATTCTATTCTATCCTTCAAAGGTTATTTTTTATACAGGGTGTCCCAAAAAGATACCGACAAACTTTAAGGGGTAGTAAGGGACATCAAAACAAGCATTTTTGTTTATATAAACATATGTCCGCAAATAAGCCATTTGGGCTGTAGAGCAAAAAAATTGTTCGATACTTTTATTCTTCGCAATAATTAAATCACTGTTTACTTATTAATTTTGCTTTATTATCAAATAAATTATGGTTTACAATAATTGTTCAAAAAGTTGACCATTTACTTCAATGCAAAGATTGCACCATCGGGTCATTGACTGAAAAGTTTAGTCTACGAAACACCTGTTCGTAATGGGGAAGATCTGTTAGCAAGGATACTGGCGAGTTGTACCCATGTAGAAGCTATTCCCGGAATATTCTAAAGAGTTCGCGAGTTGAACAATTATTGTAAACCTCGTTGTAAACCATAATTTATTTGTTAATAAAGCAAAATTAATAAGTAAACAGTGATTTAATTATTGCGAAGAATAAAACTAAGTACCAAACAGTTTTTTTGCTCTACAGCCCAAATGGCTCATTTGCGGACATATGTTTATATAAACAAAAATGCTTGTTTTGATGTCCCTTACTACCCCTTAAAGTTTGTAGGTATCTTTTTGGGACACCCTGTATATATTTCCATTTTTACTCTAAAACAAATGCCAAGAACCAAGAATATGACCTTTAATTCAAATTGCTAAAAAAATACCTATCTACTACATATTGCTATATTGACGTTACTTGAAGAAAATTAAATAGAGCAACACCTCTGTTACTTTAGCCACCGCCAAACATAAAACATGATGAGAACTTGCAAAAATTCCAGAAGCAAAAATAGCAATTGATATTATTGGTTGGTAATTCAAAATTAAACTTTATTGGTGAAAATTACTGAAAATTGTCACTGAACAACAAAACTGGCAACAAGAAAACCGAAAAACCATACAAAAACTAACTTTGTTCTTTTATTAATTTGGAGTAAACAGTATACCTACCCTGCAATTCACTGAATTCACATTTACTATTTCTGAAGTTTCACATTATACAACAAGTTCCAATGCTCCAATGCTCCAACTAAATCCTGAACTAAAGAAGATGTGATTTGTGAATGTATGAACAGAACTAGGAACAGAACATAAACATAAACAAACACAAACAAAACATAACCTCAATTTTATTTTTTTTTGTTTTACACCTCTCCCGGCTTAAGGCTCGCTTTCCTCGGATGCGGGACGGAGACGGAACGGGTGCCGCAGACGTTGCCGGCATTAAAAATATAAAGATGTGCTTTCCTAAGCAGCGGTGGCGCGACGGCGGCGGAGCGCAGTTTTTTTGACGCTAGCGGAATCACGCCACCGGTCGGTCGACAGGCAACTTCGACGGAGCGCAAGACGGACGGAATATTATAAATTTAAAAATATCGAGTTTTACAGAAGAGCAAAGTGAGTTGTTGATTGATTTTGTGGCAGTATCCTGTGTTGTATAATTTATCAATTTATGTATGTCTATTGAAATAAAAAATAGCCTATTTTCACACACGGATTGCCGAACCGCCCACGTTGCGTCGCCTTCGAGGAAAGCACTAGCTTCCAAGCGCGTTACGTCGGCAGGCGCTATGACTCCGTCACGCTTGCGTTCCGTCTCCGTCCCGCATCCGAGGAAAGCGAGCCTAGCCAAGAGTTGTATTCCTTTCACACCTAGGAGGAGCTCCGGAACTGCTCCGGGGCTTCACGCGCTTATTCCTTTCGAAAAGTGTTTGTTGCACCACGCATTTGGTCCCTGTAAATCGGGGGCTACTGAACACCGGAGCGAGTAGCTCGAGTGTTTCAAACTCTTGAAAGGAATACAACTAGGATATTACATACTACCAGGATTGCTCATCGACATCGATTTTTGGAATCAATGTTTTATGTTGTTGCACCGTTGTCGACGTCATCAACGGTGTCGTTGGCTGTTTGCGCCAGCGGTCGTAGTTTAGAATGCACATTAGCCGTGTTCTTTTTTGTCGTCTTTTTCGTCGATTTGATCCGAAATTTTGACAGGTACGTGATTTGTAAATTGAAACTGTCTGATCCAGTCACGTGTCTGTCAAAATTTCGGAGCAAATCAACGAAAAAGATGACAAAAACGAACACGGCCAATTTATGATAAAAATTATTATTTAATTTTGATTGATATAATATGGGCAAAGAAAAACATGTAAACGAGATCTGAAAAAGGGTTGTTTTAGAATGTTAATTAATGTACTGAAACCAAGTATGCATAAGGCAAAAGCCAGCGGAATCATAGCCTCTGGTGCAAACACCGAGAAATGACACTCTGCCTACGTGCTACGTCATCACTGGTACTTTGGCGTATGTTATGTGGATAATACAACGTAAAACTGTCAATGCTTTCAATTTTTTTGCGTAGAAAAGGCTTGTGTTGCCAGCATAAAGCCTAGTACTCATAACAGAGAAATTCGCTTTTTTTTCACATTGGGTACATTCAGGGAGTCCCAGCGGCTTTAACTCAGCCTCTCAGCAGGAACTTTATTCTCGAAACCAATGAACAGCGTTTTCATTGGAACGAAAATTCTGTCTTTGTCGGCCGGCATAACACTGACAATGACAAAGTAATCGTTCTTATGAAAACACTGTTCCTTGGTTTCGAGAAAAAAGTTCCTGCTGAGTCCTGAGTCCTGAGAGGCTGAGCTTAGAGCTAAGCCGCTGGGACCGCCTGAATGTACCCATTGCTTCGATAATTTGACGTTTTATGCGTGAATCAAATCAAAAAAGAGCGAATTTCGCGGTTATGAGTACTATAGGCTTTAGCCAGCTTTAGCTTTGTTTTGGTTTGAAAAAAGGACGGTTCTAGAACAACGATTGAAAACAATCGCACAATAAACTGTGCGATTGTTTTGGAGCGTTCTACACCATTTCAACCTCAATTGACCTATCTTTTTTCACCTTGACTGCGCGCGCAACTCGTGGGTTGCAGGTGAGCGTCCAATTAAAAGCGAGTTTGTTATGGGCTTGCGTCATATTCTTATTCAGGTGCCAGTTTAGAATTAATATTTCCTTCTTTCTTTGTAACGTGTAATTCGACAAAGAGCAAATACTTTACGTATTACTTCTCAACTCACCGCAGTGTTGTTTAAAATTATGTCAGATTATATTTGACCATTTTTTTTGCACTTTCATTGTGCGATGTTGCCAGATGAAACAAATTATCAGAATAAAAGTGCAAACGATGTTAACATACACTTCATAAAGCTCGCGATCCTTTTGTGTGAAAGCGTTGTAAAATACGTTGTAAAAAATCACTTTTTTATTGGTATAATGTTCGATTTGTATTAATGTCTACATTTATTCTGCAACAATACAAACTGGCTACACTGCAACCCACTAGTTGCGCGCGCATGTCATCTTTTATTACTATCCAACTTGTTTTTATAACAATGAAGCTATCTTTTTCTATTTATGCAAGACAGGTCAATTTCGAAAAAAGTAATTTCTATTTCTAAAGGCCGTTTTACAGCTTGCAAGAAAACTTGAATGCAATTTTTTGCATGCAAAAAAATTGCATTCAAGATTTCTTGCACATCGTTTTACACCTTGCAATTTGACTTGTTTCACAGCCCTCTTGTTTCCTTCTATAACCTTAACCATACTTTTTTGTTTTTAATGTTGTGTTGTTGATGTTTGCATTTTCCAAAAATAAAAAAAGTGATTATAAGTAGATATAAAAAGAAGAAAGCAATAGCAGCAACTTTAAGCATCATAATAGCTGAAAATTCGCAAGCTTGCACAAAAACCTTCAAGAAAAATGGCACCAAACCGATTGCATGCAATGCCATTCAAGTTTCAAGAATCTTGCAGACACCAATCAGCTGACTCACTTCTGCGCATGCCCTCGTTCAAGTTTCTTGCATATTGCAGATAGAATTGCAAGCTGTAAAACGGCCTTAATATAGGACAATCCAACGACCTGTCAAAAAGAAATTCAAAATGAAGGCCAATGCCATATATACTCCGTTTTATTGCGATTTTTGATTTGTGTAAAGTCTGTATTGATTTTTCGGAAAATGAATACCTAAAGTCTGTTTTTTTTTAAGATAATTCCCCATTACATTGTATTGCCAACATAATGTCATTTTGACTTTTATCTTTAAAAAAAAAACAGATTTTACGTAATGTACGTATTGTACTTTAGTTGTGGGAGCCGTTCTTATCGCGAGAAAGTCTGGTTTCATGCCCTTCCTGCAGAGACAAAATACAGGTTTTTTTAACAGCAAAAAATGATTTATCTGTACTTTGTACAGGGTGGCCCGTTTAAGAGGGGCCTATACCTTATCTCGAATCTACAAGGGCTGTAAAAAAAACTTAAATACAAAAGTTGTTACTAATAAAATTATCTACAATTTTTCTGTATTGTTTTTGTTGTCACTCTACTACATATAGAGTGGACAAATAAAATTTCATTTTTTTAAGTGGAACACCGTATATTCTAATACATTTTTACATAGCCCTTTGAAAAACAAATCCAACGATATATTGGTCATGTGTCTATGATATACCGTTTCGAACTTATTTGCAATTATTTAGGGTAATTTTAAACAGTCATTGTTATGTAACTCATAAACTGCTGCTGCCCTGCCCACTTGTTAATCTTTAGAAGTTGTTCCGGAATTGTTCTGTTCGCATGCCTTAAGCCTAGTACTCATAACTGCGAAATTCGCACTTTTTTGACATTGCTTCGAAAAATTGATGTTTTATGCGTGAATCAAACATCAAATTGTCGAAGCAATGTCAAAAAAGTGCGAATTTCGCAGTTATGAGTACTAGGCTTTAAGGTGATTGTTAGGTCGCCTTACTCAGTTCGTATTTGCGCCCTAATTTGTTGCCTTTCTACGACTTTGCACACCTCTCTCACATGCCGTGCGTCCTCCATACTGAGTCATATCGCATGTACAGTGTGCAGATCCCCTCCGTCTGGCGGAGTTTAAATCGTTAAACATACTGCTCAAAATTACCGATTACCATGCCCTGTTGGTAGCTGTGGGGACTTGAAACTCAGGTCTATGCTGTCCTGTCCCACGTTTCAGCAGTGGTTATAGAGCTCTCTCCCTTTTTGTCTCATTGTTCCATGCTCTCTGCCATCTTTCTAAAGTCCTGCGCTCTCTTTCAGTCTTACGTGTTGCCCTGTTTGTCTGGCAGTATTAGGACTTCGCAAGACCAAGACTAGCCAGTCTTGGTCTTGGTCTCGAAAAATAAATGCGGTCTTGGTATTGGTCTTGGTCTTGATGTTTCAAGACCAAGACAAGACTGGCTCAGTCTTGGTCTTGGTCTTGATAGTCTAGGTCTTAGTCTTGATAGTCTTGAAAAAAATTTATACCAAATTTTTAAAGGTATACATAGCATCCAACGACAGAGCATAGGTAATAGGACTTCAAAAATAAAAAATAAACCTCCCTTTTGAAAAAATTATGCCGACGCTTCGACCAGGCATTTGGTCTTCTTTACAGGCTATTTTTACCAACAAGAGCGTTTTATGTCAAAAAATACCGCATAAAGCATTCCACAACACAGAGGAACAAACAAACATCAATTCTTAAATTATAATTTTTATTAACGGAACAGGAAAGTTGACAAACACTAAAATTGCCATTCTGTACTGAGGATAAAAATAAATTTCTTTTTGAACCATATAGATTAAACCTACCTTACCTACCTGAGCATTCAGGCCAGAGAAAGGTTTTCGAGAACCCCCACATAGTCACATACCTCATTTGAATTTTATTGGCTTATTCACAATAATTAGATTTGGGTTAGTTTGGGTGAGATGTGGGGTTTGTGTTAGTTTGGGTTAGTTAGTTAGTTAAAAATTATCTTTGGAAATTCCAATACTTAGGTATTGTATTATGTAGGGATAGGAAAATATCGATGTGTTCTGTGTAAATGAATGTTACCTACACTATGTTGTATGTATGTAGGTACCTATTTTTAAAACCTATAATACCTTTTCGTGAATTTCAAAAAATAATAAATTCGATGAATTGATTTAATTAAAAGACATTAAGAGAAGGTATAGGAATTTGCATATTTTTATAAATATAGAGTCGATTTTTTTTTTCAAGACCGAGACGAGAGTCTTGAGAGAGAGTCTTGGTCTTGGTCTTGGTCTTGAACTTCAAGTCTTGGTCTTGGTCTTGAAAAGATTTATCAGGTCTTGGTCTAGGTCTTGATCTTGGTCTTGCTACCAAGACCAAGACTAGTCTTGTGGTCTCGCGAAACCCTAGGCAGTATGCCCACATAGATCCTCGGATATTTCAGTCTTTTCTCTCGCGAGCCTTGCCAAAGTATCCGCCTCTCTGTTGCCCGAATTATTATTGCAATGACCTCTTCTCCACTGAAAATTCAGCTTTGAGGCCCGACTAAAGCCCGGGACACATCTATCATGCATTCTTCCGATCCGACTCCGATCATACAATCAGGGTGCTTATTCTTGGAACAGGAAGCAGCGTTCCTAGGAGAACGAGTGTTCCGCTGCTCCCCTGTTTTAAGAATAAGGACCTTGATTGTATGATCGGAGTCGGATCGGAAGAATGCATGATAGATGTGTCCCTGGCTTAATGTGATTTTCCGCCAACTTTAGAATGTGCGCAGCACAGTTAGTTTGTCCTTTATTGCCCCTGATTCAATTTTGTCCAGTGCCTGCTTTCTTTCTGTGATTATAGCTATGTCTATATCTGGTATCTCTGTGTCCCTATCTGAGCGGCCTAGAATTGCTATCATTTCGGCTCTGTCCGTAGTGACGTTGTCGGGTACTTTCACCTTATGTCTGCGCTGTTGGTCGTTTAGTTGTGCAAAGAAAGACACACTGGCATCCACGTGAATCTCCGTCTAACCATTCGATCTTATCGTCTTGAGCCTTCCTGTTACGTTCGGGTGTGGGTTGTCTGTGGATTTTACTTTGGCGGCCTGTTTTTCATCGTATTTTGTTAACCAGTCTCGTCGTCTTTCATCTGCCTCGATCCATAGCGGAGGGAAACCTGCTAGGATTTGTAGCGCGCTATTTAGCGAGGTATAGCGTAAGCGTAGGTTCTATTAAGGTTCTATTAAGGTTCTATTCTACATGTGAGCAGCAGTAGTGGTCTGGCTGCTACGTCTAGGTGCCTTCTTCCCCAATGTCGTGTCCGCCCTGCCGCCCTAGATCTCACTCGCATAATATGGCTGGCTTCAGTGCCCTATCTAGTATTTCTCTGTTTGCCCATGTCCCCATTTTCTCTTTATCTTTAATGCTCCTGTTAGAGTCAGTGACATCGAAACTTTTAGGGTTTTTATTTGTACTGCTTTTCTTGCTTTAAGCAGATCTCAGCAGCAGATCGGTGTCACTTGTCCCATATAAAAGCTCATAATAGCACCTCCTAGCAGATCTTCCTGATTTTTCGAGCAGGTAGAGCAAGTACAAATGAACAGCCTATTTGGTCCTTACTGTTCACATGTGCTCTTGGTAGTTTCGCTGTGGGTCTCCAAGATACCTGACGTACTCCTGCAAGGTGGCTACCGCTCCGTCGCTGTAGCTACAGTGACTCTATTAAACTACAGTGGTGACAATTGCCGTACTAGATTGGTTCTTCAAAATCCCATAATCATAGGTCTGTTCCAACCGACATACTAGAACGGTTCTCATGTCCGGTTGGAACAGCCCTTGAAAACGTCGCCATATTCTCCGTTATTTTTTGCAGTTTTTAAATACAAATATATACCTAGGATTTGAATGGAGATCCATCATGAAAAATTTGAAACAACGTATTTAGACTCGTATTTAGATGTTATGTAGGTACCTAATAGTAGTTACCTATCAGATACGTTGTTTTCAATTTTTTATGATAGATGTCCATTATTAAATCCTATATATGATACATGCAGAATGCAGATTTGAAATTTGCAAAAACTAAGGGAAAATATGGCAGCGGGATCCTCATTTTCGCTACTGTTATGTTAAGGTTTATTTAGTCACTGTGAGATATTTAGCATATTGTGCACTGGGAGTATTTTTCTCATTCTGTAGTAGCATGTTATAGAAGAAATAAAGCTCATTTATAAAATTTCACTTACTCAAGTCACAAAATTTTTTACACAGGCTCTACAGACTTGTGTAAAATTGACAGCTAAACTGTAATAGTAGGTACCTATATTACATACCGATGAGTAGCAAACTGTTTCATTAGGACTGTGGAGAGATAGATATAAGCAAAGAATATAAGGCATAGGCGGTCTCGATTGACTATTAATCTCTCGGGACATAAATGAAAACTCTCATCAGAGGTTTGTTTACTATTTTATTTGCAAGTAAAGTTCACTTTACCGTACTTATGCGCAAGTGGAAAATAGATACCCTATCGCGCGATAGGGTATCGCACACAGGATCGGACAGTATGCTGTAAAGTCACTCTACAACATAAGTGTGCGGCGTCGAAGGTGTGCGGTAAAGTAGCCTTCAGTATTTGTACTCAAAAATCCCCTCTCTTTCAGAAATGCAACCTTATCAATTCAATAATTCCTTTTTTTGGACATGATACTCATAGCATACAAATTTTGTACCTTACACACACAGAAAGTGCCTTCACACCTTAACCGCCCTTCGGCTCGATTAGTATTCCTTTCCGCATTTAAATAAGTTGTTCTACTTCATAGTTCATATATTTTACTTAAGTACTTGTTATGCCTACCCTTTGAAGCATACCCGGGTGCAATTAATCTATTTTTGCCCAATTTCATACCATAAAATTAAATGATATTAGAAATTTAAACATTGTTATTGGTTTGTTTTAGTTTTATGAAAGTTGGTAACAGTCCCAAATCAACAGCGTCAGAAGACGATTCACAAAAACTAGATGCAAGCTCATGGAGGCAAGCCATCTTTAAAACAGTCGTAACTGCTAAAAAAGACGAAGTTCCAGATGGACCTAGAAGGAAAAAGACAACGGAAGAATATAGAGATTTATGGAAGAAGGCTATCAAACAAGCTGTTTTGTTGGTGAGGATGGAAAAAGAAAATGAACGGTTGAAAGGTAGAATTTATTTTGTTTTTTTATTGAAAGATTAACTTTCAATTAGCAAATAATATATTGAACGTTTACTAATTAACAACTGTTTAGTTCGGCAAGAAGAATCAGCAGTAAAAAGAATCAAATTAGAGTATGACGAAATGAAGCCCAATCAAAGGGAAGTTATGGAAGTTTGGGAAATGATTTCTAATAAAGATTCTCATATGAAGTGCAACAAACCTATGCTGTTACAGGCTATTCGACAAGGTAAGCAATTCTTCGTTGAATTGTATCATTGTTCTAACACCTGAAAATATCTTAAGTAATTCCATAAAATGTTCTTCTCCAGGTGTTCCAAGAGGTAAACGTGGCGACGTTTGGCAATTCCTTGCCGAGCAACATTGTCTTAAAGCAGCCCCGCCTGATATCCATAAATATCCGCACTACAACGTTCCTTACGAGCAACTATTGAGGCAATTGACGTCACACCAACATGCCATTTTAATTGATTTGGGCCGCACTTTTCCTAATCACTCTTACTTTAGTAGTCCGTTAGGTCCAGGACAATTGGCCCTATTCAATTTATTGAAAGCTTACTCTTTGTTGGATCCTGAAGTTGGATATTGTCAAGGGTTGAGTTTTGTAGCTGGAGTTTTGCTTCTTCATGTAAGGACTAGGAAATTAGATTTATTCCAGTAACACTAGAAAGCCATATAAAAATAGTCACACTGTTAATGATGTAAAGTGTCAATCTGATTATTGAGTTAATTTTTACAAAAATAATTGACTTGAATTTAAAAATACGATCACTGCAACTGCCTATTCATTAAATACGTAATGCCTATTTAGTCCTACAATTTTTAAGTTTTTCTTTTGAATGACTACAGTTGAATGGTTTTCTTATGTGTTATAATAGGAATAGAGCTATTGTAACTCCTCCTAATAATCACTCTGTTTTAGATGGAAGAATCCAAAGCATTCACCTTGCTACGTCACTTAATGTTCCGAAGGGGCATGCGCAATCAGTACTTGCCGGATATGGTCGGTCTCCAGATAAACCTTTATCAACTTTCCAGATTATTGCACGATCATGTGCCAGAATTGTACAACCATTTGGATTTTTATGAAGTGGCGCCCACATTGTACGCTGCGCCCTGGATGTTGACCGTGTTCGCTTCGCAATTTCCTTTAGGATTTGTCACAAGAGTTTTTGGTAAGAATGAGAATTTTGAAAAATAAATTTCTAGATTTAAGTAGATTTTAAAGTTCTACAATTCCAAATTGGATTCTGGCGGATAAGACATAAGCGGAATTGATAGATGCAATAAGTGCCATCCAATCCAAGCGCTCATAAAATAAACTATACTCAACAATAGGTTCGTTATCCAAGCCTAAATTTCACCAATTTTTGAGACTTTTCAATAAATTAACGGAAAAATATGTCATCTTAACCATTTTGGAAAACGATTCCTTGTTAATCATCTGCTGCATACAAAAAAAAATAGTGCGGTGATATGGGAAGTGCAGTAAAAATACATGTTTCTTGCCACCCCATATCTACAATGCGCTGGCTTAAATAAGAATTTAATACCGATATAGCAATTTGATGTTTACTTTACGACAATGTATTTGAAAAGTCATAGAGAAAAGGGGTAAGGTCATGAAAGCATATAAAAAATGGATAATTGAATACTAAATTAGCGTGGCAATTGGTTAATATATCTCCTCTCTCCTTAAGATATTGCAAATGTGGATTGTTGTCTATGCAAATCAGACAATTCAATTTGCACATTTGCACAACCTTTCTCTGAAATTTCAAACTTCCTAAAATTATGAATAAAATAGAGTTTTCAAAGGACAATTCTTTGAGATTGTGAACTATTTAATTTGTTTCGTCGTCTTGAAGTTTTCTTCTAGGTGTTCATGGTCGATTTCTTGAAGCTCCAATGTTGTTTCGTTCACTGGAAGTTCAGGGATATCTATTTTTGGAATCCAGTTCAAAATTGAAGTTCTCGCTGGTTTTTGAAAATGTTTGATTTTGTATTTTTACAAAGCATTTTTCAAAAGAAATTATCGTTGGATTGGTTTAATATCCATGTGGTTTGTCTTGTCACATTTGAGTAACTATCGTCGGACTTTTCTTAGGGATGACTAATAGTTGTCCATTCGGGAGTTGATTCACTAATGGTCTTACATGTTTCACATCATTGGAAGGACGTTGTTGTGGTACGTCAGTAATCAGGTCATAGACAAATGATTCTTCTTGCTTGAGCTCTTCTTGGTTACAAGGTACATATTGTCGACTTTTGGTATTTCCAATAGAATAGGCTTTTTTTTGTCACCATTTCGAGTCCATGCTCTGCACTGAAGCTCATCGTGGCTTATTGTACATCATTTGCATGGACTCTACCCCTTCCCATTCATACTAGAGTCTAAATGGTCGGCCTTATCATGCATCCCCCACCCTAAGATGGTCCGATTCGCAATCCATAGTCGGTTATTCAGACTCCACCAACATCATGCAAGCCTAAGAAAGTCATTCCACATCCTCTCGCCAAGCCAACGAGCTGGAGCAGCATCCGAAGCAGATACACTAACCACTACACTGCTTTGGTCGGCAATAATAGGCTTATTCATTAAGTTGTTTACTTCTAAAGGAACCATCTCATTCGTGACTGTTGTTATTGTCGAGGGAATATAATGTTTCATTTTTTATTGATGGTGTAAGAATTTCAATGCCATCAGCTATATTCGTGTTAAAATAACATACTTGAATTGAGTTGCTTGGAATCTCAAAATTTTGATTTTCAAAATCTGTTCTATATTGAAAAGGAATTTTTGTTTTATTATTAGAAAGAAGCATATTAGAAATCATATCGATGTTATTTTGATTCTTGTAAAATTAGGACATTGATTTTTTCTTGGGTTTGTCTTGTACTCATACAAGTTGTTAACTTATTTCGTGAATTAATTATAGAATTTGAAAAATATTCTTCTGCGATTAAGGGACTTATTGAAGAGGCACAGGGGCGTAGTCACCGGTGTTCCGCGTGTTCCGCGGAACACGGGCCCGGTACCTCAAGGGGCCCGGTTCTTCATGTCAATATTATTTTTGTCCTACTAAGTAAAAAAATAAATACATTTTACACATTTGACGCTAATTTATATAAAAATAAAAAATAATATATCTACAGGGTGATTCGCAAATGGCGCATAAACTCTCAACTCCATAGGAGACCCTTCAGGAATTCCCAGAAAAATAGTGAAAAAAATCCTTCTTCAAGGTCGGTGCTGATATGAAGGAATAAAGTTGAGAAATCAACTTCTTTATTTCCGATTTTTTTTTGAAACTGCGATATTTCCTAAAAAGTTCCGGTTCCAGAAGTCTTTTATTGATCTATTACAAAAAATTTCACATCAGTTACATTCTACCTTTTAAAATGAATTTTGCAAACTCTATTATCTCTAAAAGTATCATTTACATCCACTTAACTAAACTTAACGTACCTACGGAAAATTTACAATAAAGAAAAATTGAAGATCATGTGTTATACCTACACCATTTCCAAATCCAAAAAAGGGTTGGCAAAAATCCGGCTAATTGTTATTATGGTGAATTGAGAATTGGATTTTTGGTTGGGATTTTTGGTGTTTTTTTGTGGATATTTGTGTTTTTGCTGGATATTTGTGTTTATGATCAATATTTTTAGGTATTATTATAACATAACCCAACAATTCAACACATGTGACATATGGTTTTGTTTGGAGTGATATTCGAAGCCTTCTTCAACCTGATAAAGTACAAAAACTAGTAAAATTTATCAAGTATCATGATTATTATCATTTTGACAAATAATAGTATAAAGTATAAGTAAAATCACAAATCAGTGGAAATTATGTTTATCACCTACCAACTATTTTGTTTTTGTACATTTCCCTCAGTTATGGATCTCAGAATGTTATTTTAATTTTCCTCTATAAAGGAGTGAAAAGTGGTTATTTTAGATTTAAAAACTGTTTTTTATTTTCCTTTTTTTTTAAAGAGTTTGAGTGTTTCGTTTCAATAAAAAAGTGTTGTTATATTTTTCAAATTTTTCCTTTTTTAAAAATTTTTGTAGGATTTTTGTGTAGATTTTTTGTATGGATGGATATTTGTGTAAAATTATTATGGAAATATCCATCAGAAATCCATGCAATAACCAGAGTGGAGAAAATTGTTTGCCAACCCTGCAGTAAATGACATTTAATAACCTAAATTGTAAACAAATACCAGCCTCAGTGCCCATGTAAGGAGGACATTTGATAGGTTGTAATGAAAATGACCACTTTTTCATTTACTGCCGCTTGGATTTGGTTCAACCATAGCTATTTACATCCTCTTGAAAATTAAGAAAATTAACGTGACACACGGAAAAGTTAGGCCAACTTCAACATAAGGAAATCCGTACGTTAATTTCTGGTTCTGTGCTTATAATTTGACTTGACAGTTGAGTTTATAAGTACGCATGCTTCACATAAGAAAATTAACTTCATTGTAAACACACACCTTCTCAGTTTCGTACCTCGTACCTACCTTAATTATAATTTTCCGTACTTTAAGCTAAGTTAAGTGGATATAAATGACCCTTGAAGGATCCCCCACGACGTGTATTGGAGAACTTATGGAATCACCCTGTATATCTCAGGTGGTAAAGACTTCATTTCTTACATTCTTATGTAGACTTATAGATTGTACATGAAATATGTCTTGAATTTTCCGCAGAATCCAGAGATATCATAACATACATAGGGTATACGATTTAAAGAAAATGAAGTTGATAATGGTACAGCTGTTCTTGGAACAACCTGTATAAAAAAATTGGCGTTAAAAAATCTCGAGCAAAAAAACAAAATCGACGTGTCCAAGCGTTTTTTCCAAAACGCCTTCATTTATTTTATATTGAATGTTTCATACTTTAGGTTCACCCTGTATTTCAAAAAAATATATATTTCTCTCATTTTTCAATTTTTTTTTATCTCGCTGGAGTAGAGCCTAGGGGCCCGATAGAATTTTTGAACACGGGCCCGGACTATCGTCACTACGCCACTGAAGAGGCATGCCTTTCTGTGTCAATTAATAATTTACACGGTGGATAGTCTATTTGAATAAAAGGTACTTAGTTGATTTGATAAGCATTTAAAGTTAATGCTGACTCATTGCATCCAAGGCTGGTAACTGAAGATTTTCGTTTTCAGTTTCGACTCGATTTTCTGCAAAATTTGTCTCTTCATAATAATCCTATCGAGCATCATCATGACTATTATATACTCGTCTCGTCTGGCAGATACTCGCAACCGCCAGAATAGGCTGGCTATTTACATATACTTTTTAAATCAATAAAAGAATATTCCTTCAAAATTTCAGCCTTGTGGAAGCAGGTAAAAAATGATTGACCCTATAATACCTTTGCTATCGTCACACTTGAGGGATTATAACGCAACCACGAGATGCCTGCCAGAACGTTATTTACTTTCTTGATTGACCAATAATAAAACATTATTTAAAAAATTTCTAGCTTTGTGTGAAACGGGTTAGTCGGATGAACCGCTTGCTCTTCTACTACTAGTTATATCTTTCAATATTTTTTTTTGTGAATCTGTGAAAACTGATTTAGGGACAGAAAATATGTGTGTTGCTCTCAATGGTTGCTCTATCACAAACCTATTTTTGATATTTTCACGCCGATAACACTTGTATGCCAAAAAAGTTTTATACAATAAGGCAAGAGCATCTTATATATCTAATCAAAGAATTGAATGTTGATGGTCTCAAATGAGACGGCTTGGTAGAAATTGGTGAATCAATTATTTTAAATATCTGAGAGCCAGAGGATACAGGCCTCTAAAATGATGGTTATCTGCTTCATCTAGAATGTTTAAGGTTTTGCAATGCTGTTTTTTTTTTGTTAAATTTCACATCGCAAATGCAAATAAAAACAATCAGCCGGCATTTTGAAATTTTTGTGAGGTTAGAATACGGGTTGTTACATGTCGACGATGTCAGAAAAGTGTCAGATTTGAGTACTCGCCCCGTGTATTGATAAAGCCTTGTACTCATAATTGCGAAATTCGCTCTTTTTTTGACATTGCTTCGACAATTTGACGTTCGATTCACGCATAAAACGTCAAATTGTCGAAGCAATTTAAAAAAAAAAACGAATTTCGCTGTTATGG